ATAATGCGGTACCTTTTAGAAGAGTGAAAAGATAAAATGGTTTCCGCGGTGCTGTCAACGGCTGTTATACCGTGCAATCAACAATCTAACGTATGATTAATCTAATGTACAATTTCCGTATTTGCTCTCGCGCACACTAACGCAATCCGACAAAAAGAGACCGGCATAAGATAAACAAATGAGGGAGAATGAGTCGCTAGAATCGATATATGGCCGGAGGTACGAAGTGGCGTCTTAAAGGATTTACATATAATCAACGAACGGGTAGTCGCCGCGCTGGAGACTCGAAGAGAGTAGGTATATACGCGATTCAAAGGTCGCCTTGTTACGAGGTGATTCCTCGAGTGGCGAGTGGTCTTTGCCATTTCCCATGAACATAGCCATAAAGGCGGCAGAGGTCGACCGATCGACCAACCCGACTAGCCAACCAACACGATGGATCACAGCGATAAGGATATATGCAACATGTTCTGCAGCTTGTACTATACACCGGAAGTGATCCCAACGCGTTCGCGCGTTTCGAGGAACAGTCCAAGAAGAAACAAGTCTCGTCGTTCCCGTCGGCAGCCACTGTGTCTTTTGTCTCCGTGTTTCTGCGTTCGTCCATTCCTCGCGGTGATATTTATCGATATATTTTCGCGTGGGCGCGGATCGACCGACCCGAATGCCAGTCGGCTCTACCTTTTACTTCGGGACGCCAAACAAATGCTGTCTACGTGGGCAGCGTGGAGTAATATTATAATAAAGTCTCGTGGAATGATAGAAAGGTGCAGGATGCTAATAATAGCCTTTCGCAGGGTCGCCACAGGTCGGCAGGTGTGCTTCACGGTATATCTACTGTTTCTCGACGGATCAGTGTCGTCGACTTCACGAGTTTCGTGACGTAGTCACGTTGAGAACTTGAACAAGTTGAGAAAGAAACGTTTTAACTTGCGCGCAATAAGAACAAAAAGGTAAATGCAGAATGATTCCCTTCTCCCCGATCCAGTTACCTGATTTTATTTAGAATACTTTGTGCTCGGATAATAAGAGTGGCTTTGTACAACAAAATGACATTGCAATATTGAGATCTGCGATCGAGAGAAAGCCGTAAAACGATAAAGCAACGAAGGAATCGAAACAGCCGTCGATGCTGAGATCGTTTCTTTTAAATTCTACCCATAGGCATAGACGAGTCATAAAGCATAAGCTTAACAAAAATAAGAACAAACCGTTAATGGCCATTTGCAACCGCTAGTTGGGTGGTAAATGTCCATCGGCCATAAATCGTCTGTCCTGATCGGTCTTATATCGCGCGCCGCAACATTGGAACAAAACGACAAATAGAGCGGTTTGACACACGCAGAGCGCTTTCTGGAAAATTTATGGCGCGCGTCTAATTGTCGGTGTTCTCGGCGTACGTCTGAAATTGCGCACGTATCGCTCTGACGGTTTAATTTCAAGAGCAAAACAAGTTGGTAAGATTTAAGCCGAGTTATCCGACGTCATCTAATCGTCCCAAAAAAGAAAAATCGAGGATAAGAAATATAAAAGAAAAGAAAGCCTCGATGTCAAATCAGGCAAAAGTCTCGCGATGTCACGCGAGAAGCCTCGAGAGTTTGACCATACAGCGCAGAAAGATTGCAGAAATATTGCAGAATGATTTCTGAAATATTGCAATATTGCATGTGGTGGTTGTGAAACGTTACTGAACCATTGTTGCAAAATTCCAACAACGTTAAGATGTCCGTTTTTTGTTATATTGCAACAAAACATTCCAGCAATATTGCAATATAATGTATTTGGGTAAATTTTTTATGAAGACTCTAAAATGAAAATTATTTTTATACATATATCTCACTAATTTTAATTTTTTTACAAATCGCATTTCTAGTGATATGTGCTTTTCAAAAACAATTTTTTATGATAAAAATTATAAAATATTCCAATAAATATAATATTCTGAAGGATAAATTTATTCGTAAAGATAAAACATATATGTGTATGTACCGAACTACAAATTTATTCACATTAATATAATAATATAGTTGCTTGGTAAGTTAATTGCAGTGATTCTTTTTAATTCGAAACCACTCCGAGTCGATTGAATCGATTAAAAAATGACGGTATGAAATTTATCAATAAAATTTGGGCGCTGGTTTATTCTTACATTCATATCAGGCATAAATACATCATCGAACACATAATTAATATTTCGATAAATCGTTTTCAGCAGCTTAATTGCTTATCGTCTTATCCGATAATGATGCATTGTATCCAAACTCGATATTATACAATCTTTTGATTTCATATTTAAAATAAATATAAAACTTAGCTAATAAAATGACCGTCAAATAATACATCAATAAATTTTTTATTTAAATATAAAATGAATTATATTAATTATTATATCATAAAAACGATTGTTAAATTAAAAGACTATATTACATAAATATTGAAAAATTTATATATTTTTATAAAAAATTTATATATTTTATAAAGACAGTTTTGCAATGTTTGTGAAATATTACAAGCATATTACTGACATTTTGCAGGCATATTAATTTACATTTCAGTAATATCTCTGCAATGTTACGTTGCAATCTGCAATATTGCAACATTGCAGCAATATTGCTTCAATCTTTTGTGCTGTATTTGTCGCGACAAATTCGCATGTATATCTCGCCGATCGATCAAATACCTCTCCAATTCAGAGAGTGCACGCCGATAATGAGTGCCAGATAATACGCGCGCGGAGAACACGTTCAGGATACGTTTGGGACGGGATTCTCACGACATGGAGCGGCGAGTCGGTAAACATCTACGCCCCAGAAACCGACGTATCGGGTTCCACGATCCCGATGGCCTCGCTATGATGTCCGTCTTTCTATCTGTCGTCGACAAAGTTCCTTGAAAATTGTGCAATACAACATGGCTCATTTTCTTCGCGATCTCCCCGGTGCGATGATGTAGATCATGTATCTTTTTTTTTATGCCGCGTTCGCAGGATAAGATCTTGCTTGCGCCAATGAAACCGAAACTGGTTGCTCCCACGTGAGCATTATATAGGTGCCGCTTGTTCAAAGCTACGACGCGGTAATTCAATTGACCGTCGTATTTGCGAGGAGAAATATGTAAATAAACGACACATAAATAAATGATGTATAGAGTTGAAGTAGATTAACTACTGAGATTAACTACAAGATTAATTTTACTGAGCGTTAAATGAGATATCGTATATCAGAATCTTGAATGAACGAAGATATTTTATTTCATTAACTAAATTGTACACTCGAGACTCGACTGGATATGTTTGATGTTGAGCGTGAGAATAATTTCACTATAACCGGAGTGTAGAGTAGTCAAAGTCTAAATAGACATCTTCGTATTCAATGAGCATCGAGCGTGAGAATAATGTTTAAGACGAAAGTGGAAGCATTGCCGAGGCTGTGTGCCTTTTGCGTATGATCCGGCTTTATGAAACGCGTATATCAAGCGGAGATAGATGTCGGTGTAGAGGCGGACAACGAGACAACCTGTCCTGCTAGCGAGATACTTCGAAAGAATAAGAGCAAAGGAGAGCTAGGAAGGCGGATTTATTCGGCCTATTTACAGCAATTGTTTAACGGGAGCTTGTGAGGCGGGCGTTTTCTACACGTTAGTTACACGCGTAATTGGAGATCTATTCTTTCCTGTCTTGCCCTGTCTTGCAAATAACAAAGGCAACTGTTGACAGACGTGCAGGGAAATTGCAGAGTTGCGCCTTAGAGAAGGCGGGCCTGCGATCGCACGAACTTTAAATAGAGCTCTTCTCCGCCGGCTTCAAACCTTTAATTATATACGATCGGTGGAGCAAGTGAATACATTGTTGAGTTTTGGCATACTATACGCGATTACATTGATTAAAATATTTCAGCGATCTAAAAGAAGTGTAAAAGAACGGTTCGTGTTGGCGTTGGCACTCGACTTTCCCGTTCTTCAAACGGAACTTCTCTATCAGCAGAAATCCTTAATTATGAGCGTGATCAAACAGTGATTTCACAAATAGATATTTCTGGGACGCAATGAATCTTTTATGGCTGAAATAAAATATTTTATCGTGCATAATATTGTGATATGTAGGTGTATTTTACGGTGACGTTGGCATTAACTTTCTCTGTATCGACTTCGAAAAGACATTAGAGATTCGACGCACGAACAAAGCGTGGACCTCGCAGGGAATTTCGAGGTCCTACCCCGAGTTTAGAATAATCCATATTCTTTTTGTGGGCGTAAACCAGATGTAGGAGAGCACGCAGTCGCGGTGTCGCCAGGTTACCGTAAAACGTGACTGGAAGAATAAGAATTTCGATTCTCTCATAATATTACGGAATCGTTGCCGCCTGGGCTTAAATTCGCTGTCTTTTTCATATTCACCAATCGCGTTTGTTCTTTGACTTTATTCGTGGAAAGAATTCGATTAATTCGTAATTGGAATGACTCTGTTCCGTCCATGAGATCACGAAATCGACATAAAACCATCTAACGTGACTCTCATCGCTGTGTATTCTTAATGAAATACTTAGCGGTCGTTACACGTATAGAAATGCAAACAGTCTCGATTTAATTTAGAAAGGCTTTAACATGAATATAATTTAATTTGTACGTGTCAGATTCGTAGAGTAACGTAGAGTATTAGAATTATTATGTTCAATGACAACCTTGAAAATAAAATTACATACAACTGTGTCAAAAGACAAATAGAAGTTTATTGCAGCGACGGTGGAAATAAATAGAAAATATAAGATTATGGTATGATCTTATTGCTCATTTTATCTCCGAGGGCGCTAATGCGATGAACGATCGTAAAATCCGACGCACGAGATCATAACGGAGCAAAATTGGTATTGAAGCATAAAACAAGTTACATAAAATGACTCGGCCGAATGAATACTCGCCGTTTAATTAATTTGTAGAAAAATAATATGGCCTCCGGATGCGAAGATGTTCACGCATTAACCTCGAGTCTCTCCCTTTTGCAGGTGATATAGAGGACTGTCTAGTGGCTCCAGTTTCCCAAGGTCAGTTCACGCCGCTGCCAGAAGCCTTATGTTGGGCGATTCTGGAGCTGACTTCTCAGAGGCAGGCGGCGACCTTGGACACCCTCAGATCAGCCCTGAGAAATGCCTTCCCGGCTATGCAGAGGCCCAGCCGAGAGCTCGTTTACGACGCGCTCGCCAAGCTCATGCAAGAACGAAAGATCTATCACACGTCTCAGGGCTACTTCGTTGTAACGCCCGAGACCAAAAGGCTTAGACGTGACTCCGGTAGCTCCAGGCGGTGTTCCAGGGACGTAAACGGGTCCAGAGGTCAGGGTAGTATGCTGATGAGCAACGACGAGGCGGTGGCACTCGTACACGGTGAGATGCTCACTCTGCGAGACGGCGATGTTACGCATCAGGCTGTACAGACAAACCTGGCGGACGTTATTTGCGGAGGTAAGATGAGTCTCGCTAATTATTTTCTGAGCCTGACGTCACCTCGAGCTATTTTCTCAATAGACAAAGTCTATAATTTACTAGCTAGCTTCATGTAAACGTGATGACTTTCGAAGAAAATTATTTTTTAAAAGGCTCCTTTGCCATTTTTCTTTAATGTTTAAGTTAAAATGTGGAAACGTGATGTAAGAAACGTGTAAACGTTGTTAGAATAGACAGGTTATTAATCAAAAGAAGCGTAGATATATGTTATGCGCTTCCACGAGGAAGTTGTCGTGCAAGAAGTTAATGCTGCGAAAATATCGGTTGTATATATCGCGCACGAAAGATGATGTTGGGTGATGATGCGATTAACATGCTTTCGTCTTCATTCAGTAGTAATCACAGAGTTCTCTGCGTCTTATTAGAGTGTCGCGTATCCCGTTGTCTCCTGTGGTGCGCGAGGTTTATCCGCGAAGGAAAGTTTCCCGTAACCATATTTCCCGCCGTATCATCTCGCGATATCAATCAGATAGTTAATTTATAACGCAAGATAGTTAATTTATAACACATTGCCGATCAATTTAACGCGTTAATATCGTTTCTACGACGCGATATGAACGTGCATTACGCGGGACCAAAATTATATTTCAGGAAAGTGTTAAATATAGAGTGGAGAAATTCTTGTTATTAAATAATATAGAGTGTTGCAGAGAGAAATTAATGTACAGTACAGTGCATTAATTCGTTGGGTCATAGTAGATGCCGGCCCGACTTATTGAAAATAAGAAAATATTACAGTATTAAAAAGTTGATAAAAAATTCTGAAAAAATTCTTAGAGTTCTATGAGAAGAAAATTAATAATTTTTGTCTTTTGCAGTTTTTCTGTAAAGTTGATAATATTTGAGTAAAAAATAAACGTCGATAAGTGAGTCGCTACTATGACCTAGCGAATTAATGCACTACAGTGTACGCTGCAGGCGTAAAGAGTAAAAATGTGTTTGTGTTACTTGTAATGCCTTACATAATTTTCGTGACATTTTTGAGACTCAATGACAAAAGTATACAGATGTATGTAAAGAACGTATAAAGATGAACAGATAAACGCGTGAGGCTGAGATCGATTTCGCCGTATCTCACGAAAGGATGCGCAGGAAGTCGGAGCCCGTAAAACTTGCGAGAATGAACTCGCTTGTCCGGCAGACCGGTCGGTCCAGGCAAACTCGTTCGGCACGTGTTCGGGAAACGTTCCGATTGTGTCCAGGAGGAGAGCAGTTCGCGAAGCTGCTCACTCTCTGAGGCCTTTTTCTGCTGGCGACTCGACGAACGAGTCGGGAGAACGTTTATGTTGTTGTCGTCCTTGGTAGCCACGCAAGCCTCGTCGCCGGAAGATCATCAATTCCTCTCGCGACCGCGTACGAAAAATCAGTGCGCGATCTTAATTTCACTTTTTACCACGTTCGCGGAAATGTCAGGAAGAAACAATGTTTGTCCTCTGTCATATGTCCACATTTTTATTCCTGATATTCATTGTTTTTCAGTCAAGAAATGCTGCTTCGGGCAGAGCACAAAAAATCATAACAAGATCAAGATATCAAGTACAAGTCATTTTAAAAAAGATTATAATGTCATTTGATATACTTTTGACGATTATTTTATGATGAATTCTTGGACATGATAATGAGATTTTTTTATTCATCATTGTATGATATCATTATGAATTTTCCTTTTATTTCTACTTGATGATCGTCTTTCTTATTATAATTTTATGTTCTACCTGGGGCGTTGATTACACATGAAAAATCCTAACGCAATTGTTGTTTCGATTATTGCTAACAGAAATTCGAGGAATTCTCTTCTATCTGCGGCTTTTTATTATCTTTGACAAAAAATTCTCATGTTTCGTGATATATCGCCAGGTGAGACCTTTATACCACAACACTCGCGGAAGTTTCTTGCGGTATATTCTTTTTTATTCTTTTTTTTTTTTAACATACATCGAATACGTATATATACATGCGTGCGTACGTGCAGAATAGAGCCAACATCAGCACATATAAAGAACAAGAAAGAAGGAAAAAGAGATGAGAGAAAGAACGAAGTAGAGAAGCTGACGATGCCTGGAAAACGTTTAGCACAATATATTAGCTATTGGTCACGACATTGTCTACCGTTACATACGCTGTCGACATCATTGTAGAAAGGGGGGAAGGACCACACGTATATATATATATATATATAATCTTCCTACTTTTCTCTCACTCGTTTCTCGGCTGATTCTCACGCTGGTAACCCACTCGTCGTTGGTCGCTATGTCGGCGTATCGCCCATGGCTATATACCAAGATGAAACTCTCAGGAATGAGGGTATTCCACTTTTTTTTTTTTTTAAGTTACAACGCGCAGCTCGGTCATGATATTAACCCTTTTAACTGGAGTGTCACGTCGTCTCGGCATTCTGATATTTGCATGTGTGTCTTCGCGTCGCATAGAATTTACTCTTCCCAATCAGTCTGCTCAATGTGGCAATCTAAGTTTACTCACACGAGGACACTTTTTACAATCATTCGTCTTATTTGACAGATAACAAGCATGAGGACCGTTAAATTTTCAAGATATGGAAATTATCAGCAAATCTTTTAAGCATTTCATTCGTTTTACATATAATTAATTTTATTTACATATATAATGTAATAAAGAGTTAAAAATAATTTTGTATGTCTCTCTTCCAGGAAATCCCAATGATAAAGTCCTGTTCGCCAGGTGTCGGTCGATGCCCGGCCGTCTCGAAAGGCGACATTCTCTACGGCTTTGGGGCTCGGCCAGACGTTTACACAGAAGCGGAAGTTCACGGTCCTTACCACGACGACCCGAAAGGAGTGATACATCTTCCAGCGCGGAATACGCGAGTACCGACAGTGCGCCTCACAGTCCAACCAGTGAGTCTAATTGGGAAAGGGATTGCATGGTGATGGGTGACTGCTTTATTTAATGGGTGATGGATGAATCAGTTTTATTAAAAATGCTTTCGATTGTTTATAACTGTTCTTATAAAAGCGGAATTTCGGAACTTTTGCATCAGCCTAAAATTTTCGTACTTAATTATTTATATTCACAAGCTGCTCGAACGATTTTTGTTTCGGACGACTATTTCTAGTATATTAAGTACTCTTTAGCACTAACGAGAACGTTCTGATTATATTAGGACAATTATAAACAACTGCTGCGAAATATCCTATATATACATAATATCTGTAGATCGTATAATACAATCCAGATTGTAGCTTTTTAGTCACTCTATAGCTGGCAAGCCCTTTCTCGATCCTTATTGTTGTCTAACAAAGCGCAAGAAAATCCAAATCCCTTCCTCAAGGCTTTTCTGGGATTTTTTCAGAGAAGATAGGCCTGCTCTCCAGGCTCTTTCGGCGGAGCACAAGGAGGAAGGGCGCACCGTTAATGGGCACTTTCAGTGCTCAGTATCCCCCCACCGAGTGGTTTAATCCGCGTGTCGTACATTTGCATAGCGTTGCCACGCAGACAAGGGCCGCCAGCCCTTCGGTAAGTTGCATACAGGTATTTTCCAATAAGAACCAACAAAACAAAAATTTTTGCACAGCACTTCTAACGCCGTAAGGCTAATTAACCGGTTCCCCTGACAATTAATGAAAATTCCTGAGGCGACAACGTATCGCGCTATCAATAACGCTGAATTTGAAAATTTAATGATAGTAATAAATAGAGATAATATAAACAATTTAAATAATTTAATTGGAATTGAATTGGAGGTGAAAAATAAGAATTCCTTAATTCCAAAGAGTTTCGAATCGCGCGAAAGATCGATTAAATCTTTTTTCAGATGATGGAAGGTTTAAACCAATCGCAGGCTAGTTTCCAAGTGTGGGATGATTCGAGCTCGGTGCGATCGGCCACTTTACCAAGGCGACATCGGCGTCAAGCCAGCGGTGACTCCTCGAGTTTATTGGCCAACTCGACGCCAAGAAGCTCTCGAAGGCATCGATCACCGTGCTCTACTCTGCCGAGATCCAAATGCTCAAGCTTGAGCAGATGTACGTCTAGAGCATCTGTTCTACCGCCCAGCACCAATCAGGAGGGTTATCAAACGCGTAATCAAACACAGAACGATAAAAACTCGACGAATTCGTCACCTAGCAGAAGCGGTGGTAGCTCTGGTTCAGTTAGAACAATGAATGCGAGTCCGGCTAAAACGACAACGTTGGGTAGGCCCAACACTAGGCAGACCAACTCAAGAAGACCGAGTCATGACTTCAGCAACATTGGCACTAAATCGACCAACGGTTCCCCACAACATAAGGTGGATGTAACTCCGTTATAAATATGTAACAAAATATTTGCATGCGTATATATGCGTTTTTTTCTGATAAAAAAGATACTCGTAAATATTTTATCCATTTAAAATATATCAAAATATTAAATATTTTAATGTTCTTTGTATATATACATATTGTATATAGCTTTGTATATATACATATTGTATATAATATATTGTATATAGCAATTAATTTTAACCTCCTTAATTTTTTAATTTTTTTCACTTCCTTAATTTTTCTTTATATTCTCTTTAATAAAAAAATTGTATTTTAAGGTGCTGCAAAAAACTTCGTCGGGTCATTCATCTCATTCTAGCGGCAAGTCAATTTCCAGTACGAAATTAACTTGTTCGCCATTGAAAACGGCCACACTATCCACGAAATCGTCACCGCTCAAAGTCGTTCAGCAAGGTTCGCTGACTCCTCTGCAAGAGGCGCAGAACTCGATAACTCTTCAGGTGTCTACCAATCTAAGTCCGTCATCACAGGAGCAACGGACGATACAGAATAGCGTGACGTTGGCCTCCAATACGACCAGTACGACGACCATTTCCGGCTCGCCTGGCACGAAGATCTACGTTCAGCAGAACAACTCACCGATGAGGTCCGTAATCACTTTCGAGAATGGCACGGTGAAGACGAAGATTGCCGAGAAAGAAGTTATCGATTGCAAGGAGAAGCAGGAGAGAGAGCTAGTAGCCGAGAAAGCCTACAAGACCCGGGTGGATGACGAGAAGCTTTTTAAATCGAAACTTGATGACGAAAAGCTGAACAAACCGATCAAGGCCGAGCGTCCGTCGTCACTCTACACGCCGAAAGATCCAAAAACGAGTCTTCTGCTATCGGAATCTGACAAGGAGAACAAGCCGAAAGTCGAAGATGAAGTGCCTAACAAGCTGAAGCTAACAAACCGTTTGAATAATAGTCAAGCCCACTTGATCGATGCCTCGGCTAACAACGTCGACAAGAACGCTCTGGTACAGGAGGCTGCTGCGTTGTCCACTACAAAGAACACCAATGATGCGATGAATAACTCGCGTAAGCTTAGCCTGTCGTTATCGAAGGACGCGCTGAGTTATCGCAATCTACTTCATCCCGGTTCGAAGAATAATATCGTTTCGAATCCGCCGTCTCCTACCAAGTCGTATGATGGTTTTGGTGGCTCTTTCAATGACGTATACATCGAGAATCTCGAGACGGTGAAGCAGCAACGAGCTCCTCAGGGCTCCGAGCCCAACTTAGAGAAGACTGTGAGCCGAGGTTCAGATTTGCACTCTTATCCCAGTCTCAGCGACATGCAGGTGCAATTCACCAGCCTAGCGGCGCAGAAAATCCTCAAGGGCTGTCCGATTAACAGCGTGGATACCTTGGTAGAGGTGAACATGGCGGCCGCCGATAAGCCCAACAACTGTGACGTTACCGTTCACACGGATTTTGGCCTCGTTTGAATTTCATCCCTCTGAATATCGATTATTATACCATGAAGGTAGGACAAGGAGCTATTGATCCTTACGTCCTATCTGAACATATTGCGTCCATGAAAAATAACGTGCCTCGAGGCGAGCAGTATCGAAGAAACGTCACTAACGCCTTGCTTCTCATATATGAGAATAGAGAGCTACTTTTTAAAATTTTTGTTTATTAATGGAAAAAGGTCACGGCTTGCGTAAGAATATTACACACGAAACACGCGTAACAGTTACCAATGATTTGTCGTTTACATATATTTCTTCTTCCTGTGTCTTTTAATGAATCATTCATGTTCTTGAACATGCTGTGCCAGTTTTATTTATATTACCTATATCTGAACTAATAAGATCAAATTTTCAATCTCGCTTATTAATATTGCTTTGCCTTAAGCTTAAATATCTCTCAAAAATGTTATTCTGAAATAATTTCTCTGTTATCGAAATATTTTTTATACATTATATTTTATATTAAATTACTATGTAAATCGTATAACAAGTAGCAAATAGGCAAAACATATTTTATCTTCACGTTTGCATTTAAAATGGAAAAATATTAAATATCAAAAAGTATTAAATATCAAATTGCGTTCTGTTTTCATTACTAAGGCAAGCGATAATTGATATCCAATATTCTCAAAGATATAAAAACCGGCTTTTAGCAACCTACAGCATACAAAATATCTAACTCTTTTCAAATTTTGAGACATATAGAATACTTTCCAGTAAAAAACACAGATGACACAGTGTAACACAATGAATCATTACATCCTTGTTATTTGCTGTTAAACAAAGATGAAATAATCACTGTGTCAATTGTATTACGCTGTGTTTCTTACTACAAAGCTTTAATATAAATTTAAATTTAAAAGATGCGAGCGCATCGCAACGTTGTAACATTAGCAGTTTTGCATTGCTTTACTCGAGCTAAAGTGATTTGTCAAAACAATAACATTTCTCGTGTACAACGTCACGTGCGACTCACAAGCGAACAAAAATAAATTTTTCCGAATTAAAGCACTATCATTTTTTTGTGCACATGGAAAGAACAGTTTTGCTAAAGTATTTAAAAGTTTTGCTAGAGATTTGAGAATAAATTTTGTTATCAAAATAATATTATATAGGATATGCTCAAACTAATGATTAGAATGTCAAAACTTTTGACAGCATTGCTCACGAGTTTCCTACATAATAATTTTAATAGTGTAACAAAATTATTTTCAGATCTGTATCTACCTCAATTTTTAGATACTTTAACAAAATCGTTTTTTTCATGCATATTTATATTTTGGGCATTTTTCATACTAATTTTCATCAAAAAGGATGATGACAAAAACATTTCCATTTGCCTTCGTAGCAAAGTAAGACTAAATAAATGGTACAGCGAAGTTTTGTAGACAGATATGTGTATACGCAATGTGTAGGCAGGGAGATTCTTGTAAAATTTCTTTCGAATGATAATAACGTAGTAAACAATGTCGAGCGTTATTAATAGCAATACCGTCCCCAGGAAGCGTAACTAACATAAAAAAAAATCAGGATTGCGATTCTCGTTGCGCCGCACACAGCGGAGATTTGATATCAAATATACATATGTTATACATAGTGTAGAAGACAGGCGTTTTCTCGGAGAGCGCGGCCGGTACCATTCGCAATTAGTGCAATCGTAAATCTGTAAGTGCCAAAACTTATCGTAGTACTTAATAACGACTGCCTTAAGAATTCCGTTCGCACGGCGATTTCGCGGCGTGTTTACCGTTAGCGATGACGGTGACGATTTCGATAAATGCAAACGCGCGAAAAGAAAGGAAGAAAGTAACACTACTCGCGAAACCGTATAGGTTTAGAAAAAAGGTAGGCAATTAAATGAATACGGCACGAGAGAAGAAAACGAGACATGCTCGCTTTGTATATTTCTTACTCTGTACCACAGATTAACTGATCGATGTTCGCTTTACGTTTCAAAAATGCCGACTTTTCGCCTACACTTTAAACCTGATTACTGATATTAATGTCGATTAATTTGATTATGAATTGTACATCAATTAGTTCGCAGAGATCATTATCATAATTTGTGAATGTATTGTAATTTGTATGAGTTATTATGAGTATTATAATTGATTTTTTATAATGATTTAATATGACATAAAAATATATAGAATTGCAATTTTTTAAGCATTGATTTTGTACGCGTAAAAAGATCAATATAAAATTATTTAATAAAACCAAAGTAATATGATATTAAAAATTTAGGTGAGGAGAATGTTATAATTGGGGAATTTCTTAAGGGCAAATTAAAAATTTGATTAACTTAATCGGTGATCAACTTATTAACAGTACAAAATTTCTAATTGTATAATATTGTCTCTAATCTTTTGTTATACAATATGTTAATAATTCGACAAAATTAATATCTTAACGAAATGATGTTACTTGATATCATTTTGTCAAATTATTAATTTTGTTGAATTATTAACATGTTGTTTAAAAAAAAAGGTTAGGGACAATTAGCGAATTTTGCAATTAGAAATTTTTGTTTCAAACAATTTTACCGGTCTGATTAAGTTAATCAGGACTTAACTGAGGTCACCTTTGAGACGCGAGAGTCGTATTTCCTCGGGAAAGTCGGCGTCCGCGCGAACGTTTTCGAATCCGCGCCTCTCTTATTTCTTATCAAAACTAACTTGTAGAATATCATTGTATAATCTTATCATTATAACAACGAAAGTATATGAATAATAAAAGAATTGAAAAAGAGCGCAGGCGTCTTGTATTATTGCATCGATAGCAGACTTACCCTCCCGATATTCGAAAAATAATTTTGTCAGATTATAACCGCCATGACGATCTCGGCGTCTCGAAAGGGAATCCTCAAAATTTCTTCAGGAGAATCAGCTAATCACATTCTGAAAATCAACAAAATATATTAATTGCAGATTATAAGGAATTTATTCGGATTTGTTATTTATTCCTCCGCTAAAATTTTCTTTTTCACTTTAATTGAATATCAAACATATAATCTATCGTATTATATCTATCTCATTTTAAATTTCAAAAGTGTAGATCTTTCGTCTCCTTTATGCCCATTTCTACTAATGTAGTTTCATTTTAATCTTGGTTTTATTTCCACAAATGTAGATTGACTTTATCTCGATTTAATTTACTCTTCATTTTTTCTAATTCTTAGAACTAGAAAAAAAAACAAAAAGTAATCTACGGTAGAAACGGGCATTAGATATATTTTAAATTACCTTCGTTATTTTTAAGCCGCGTTCAGAAACTTTGACTCGAAACTTGATTGTTGTTCCTCAAATATAATTATTAATTAAATAAATTGATACCTGGATGACTCAGGTGAAATTTCTGCAATCGTAAGCACATTTGTACGCGCGCGAAACGCTTCCACTTTTCCTCATCGCGCGCGAAGGATCGTGACTGAAGTGTGTTTTGTTTTCACGCTCCGTGCTATAATCATATATACTATCCTTGTTGTCTATTCGATCTATCGAATATTAAACAAAGATAAATGATGCTTACAAGCGCTGTGAGCGCGAAAACGGAACGCACTTTATAAGAATAATGCAATAGCGCATTCTCCGTCCTTTCCGACACAGTCACTGAAAGCGTTAGGAGAAAAAAGACAGACAATTCAAATTACGGCTGGAAGGAAAATGGCGGGGGCTCAGACAAAATGGTGGGCGTGTTCTCATGAATCTAAACATCTAGAGAATTCTCAATTAGGCGACCAATGAAAATCATTCGTCGAGACGCGTCTCAAGATGTCCCCATCTTATCTCGATTGTAACGGAATTTGGCATTAATTGACGATTAAACGTTAAATATCGAGACATTCCGAGACATCGCGGATGATTGTGAGTATCGGAAATCAGACGTTAATAATATAAAAAGAAGAGCATTGAATGCTAAAAACAAGTTTAAATTTAAGCGCCATCAAGAATCATAAGAAATAACCTTCGCTTTGTCAAAAGTATCCGAATGGTGCGTCTCGACACGTTTAGTGAGAGTCTCGGCAAAGTACGATTCGCGCGCAGTTATGGCGACTTAACGCGCGGTTATCGCGGCCGAGCGCGCGTTTTCCCGGGGGCACGAACTCTTTCTGGAACGACGCATTAAAACTTAGAGAACGTTACGATGATGCACAGAAGGGGAGGCAAACGGATCCGTATGGATGATCCGGTGCCTCCGGAGTATGATACACCGATGACACCATTGACGCCGATGAATGACAATTCCGGCGGGGACGCGAACGACTCTTACAATGCATATACACCGTACAATCAGACTCCGTCTCAGACTCCGCTGCACAATCCCACGTAAGTATCAAATTAGCAAATTGATGTTATTAAGTCTGTTTGTGACTTAGTGACTTAACTAGTATACATTTGTATTTGAAATAAATGACTTTATCTGCTAAATAAATAACTCTAATGTCATCTTCTACTTGCTTATAAAAAAAGAACAGAAACTGAAGAAAAAAAGAAAGCACTTTAAAAGAACAATATGTTCCTTTATAATCATATATTTCTTTATAATCAGTCAGTTATTACATCAAAATTGTATATAAAAGTTTAAATTAACTAATTATTGTATATTTATAGTCCAGAACATTACTCCTCTGAGAGCTACAGTTCGCCGGGTACAACTCAACAGCAATATCAGGAACAATCAGGAAATCTTGATAATCAGACACAATTCGAGGCTCCTGCAACACCAGCAGCTTCTAATATGAGGATTACAAGAAACACGCGTGCCAGGATGCGTGGTATGCATGAATATGTATTTTGTCAATATTTATGGACTTTGTAACACACAAATAATATGAAAAATTGTAATCTATTGTAATCTTTGACTTTTTAAAGGAGGCATAGTGCAGCAACCCAAGTACAAAGAAATCGATACGGATTATGTTCCACTATCCACCAACAAAAGCAAAGGCGGTGGTGGACGAGGACGTAATAAAAGAGCGCACCATCCGCATAGTTTAGAAGATGAAGCTAGTCTTTATTATGTTATTAGAAATAATCGTTCGTCGCTCACGGTAAATTGATTTATATATTAATAAATACATGATAAGAGCTGTGTATCAAAATCTTTTACAAATATTGTTTAACAGACTATTGTTGACGACTGGATAGAAAAGTATAAAAGTAACAGAGAGAACGCCCTTCTTATGTTGATGCAATTTTTTATTAATGCAAGTGGTTGCAAAGGTCGCATTACTTCCGAGATGCAACTGACCATGGAACATGTAGCAATAATTCGCAAGATGACCGAGGAATTTGACGAA